ACTATCACAAAGATGTGGAAACAACCCCAGTGCCCATCAACCCATGAATGGATAAATGAACTACGGTGTCTGGCTTATGGAATGCTGTCTAGCCATAAAGGAAGATGGGGACATCACATCTTTTGTATTTACCTGGAAGGATTTAGAGACCATCTTCCTAAGTAAAGTACCATACGAACAGAAAAGCAAGCATCAAATGTACTCAATATGAATAGGAAACTAGTAGGTGAACACCTATATACCCACATGAGAGAAAACCATATTTAAATTCAAGAAAGGGGGAGGTGAGAAGGGGGAGTGTTCTAAGCTCCCGTATTGGGTGCAGGAAAGTTGTATACCGCACGTCTCCCGGGAGAGGGGCTCAACTGCAACGGTCGGACTCTGCCTAACAAGTGCAAACAACATAACCCAATGGTATGTGCCCTTGTGTTAATCTGAAACTTAAAAAAATGCTAATTAGCTTTAGTCATTTAACAAATAGTAACTGCCAACTAACACACCAGACACAAATTATACATAAAACCTTTCACTGCTGAAAAGGACCTTCGAAATTATTTGTTTCAAATTTCTGATTTCACAGATGAAGGGAACACACTAGAGTTTCACTTATTTTCTACCGCTCTGTTTGTTACTATTAGAGTTTGGTCTAGAACAACTCTGTCCCCATTCCAATTTTCCACTGTTTATAGATAAATATTCTTTAAAAAAGATTATTACATAAAAAAACAATTCATTTTCTTCTGGGGGTCAAGGAAGATTTTTTTTTATTTTTAGGAATGTTCTCTGATTGAAGTTATAGAAAGAATACGTGTATGTTTTTCTGATATAAATATGGTTGGAATATAAATATCAATGTTACATTGGGTTAAGAATGACACAAAGAGATTTTGCCTGATGCTTTAAACAGTGGTGTCTCACGTCTCCAGAAAAGTGCAGAAGAAAATTAGTTTGGCAATTTTTCTTCATTCTACAGTGGAATAGTTATGAGCGGCCAGCAGATGCCACTGTTGTCAGTTGTAAATGTTTTTTCAAGTTTCAAATATAGAAAATAAGTCACTACTAAAAAAAAAAATGGGGTAAGTAAAGGCAAAAGTAATCATGTTATCTTTAAAACGTTAAGTTACAGAAATACTATATCACTGAATCTTATTATTTACCTTTTAACAAATTAAATATTTATTAAACACTTGGCAACTAGAAGACACGTACTGAATTATCAGAAAGAAATCAATAGATAAAAGGGTGAAAATAATCATTTTTAAATATCAGAAGCTCGTGCGGTGACCAGTGTTGGTAGACATATTTAATAGCCAAGATATATATTCTATCCTGATGGGTGACATCAAGAAAGACTAAAACAAAACAAAGAAATCCTGTGCCTTTTTGTTGTTATTGTGGTATCCTAAAGCAATTTTATATTTATCCAACCTCTATTCAATTGTGAATAGGTTGCTATTATAAACTTTGTTACTATCTTCTGTTACCGTCATTGTTTGTAGATGTTTCTAAGTCTTAAAATAATTTAAGACATTAATTAAAGCAGACCTAAGGAATTGATTCCTTGAGAACAATATGCATGGTAGCTATTTTCTCCCAATTCCAAGGAGGACTGAACAAACATAATTGACCTCTTCAAGGAACACCTGTATCTTTCTGAAACTATTCCTGGGATCCCTCTGCATCTTCCCCCCCCCTTTTTTTTTAAATCAATTCCACCACCCATCTGTAAATTAGAGTTCATATAGATTTTTTAATATTTTCACATGAAATTAAATTCTTGACTATTTTAACTCATTTAAAATAAAATTTTAAATCTATATCATGTAGTACCTACTCTGATGGTTGCCATGGTAAGGGGATTAGAATAAATACAGCTTCTGTCTTAATTGAAGCTTAAGGTAGCATGACAAGAAAAGCTCTGGATCTTGACACATCTGCATTTTGGTAAAAAATGTCTACCAATACATAAACTGATCTGTAAAACAATTAGGTCTCATACGGTTCTTGTAACAATCAAGTAAGATAAGAATGTCTGGCACAAAACAGCAGTTGAGCAAGTGCTGTTTTTACTGAGATAACACAGTCTTAGACAGCAGGTTAGGTGAGTGGTCAAGACCCTACTCACATAGAAAATAGAAAATAACTAGTGATGCCAAAAAAAAAAAAAAAGGAACAAAATACATATGAAATTAAAAATAATACACTGCAGACAGAAGGTCTGGGGAAGTTTATGGAGGTTACATTTAGCAAATCTTTGCAAGTCTAAGCATTTGAAGGGCAGTATTGTGGGATAATTTTATTCAAGATGGAGAAATAGTTGGGTCAGAGAGAACAAATAAGGCATTCCCCCCACCGTCATCATCATTTCTACTACTAACGGACCCCCCAAATAGTATGTATTTAGAAATTAAGTAGTAAAATTCCTTAATTTTTCAAGATAGTATTGGAAGTCCAAGGCAGCACAATCAGGCAAAGACATCCAAATTAGAAAATAGGGGGCGGAAGTCCTCCCTGTTTGCTTATGATATGACCTAGAAAACCCTAAAGCCTCCACCAAAAGAATCAGAGAATTAATAAATTAATTCAGTAAGTTCTCAGGGCACAAAACCAATGTAGCAGTTCTGTGCGCTACAACAACTAAGCTGAGAATCAATCAAGAACTCAATACTATTTATAACAGTTGCAAGGAAAATATAGTCCCTAGGAGAACACCTCACCAAGGAGGTGAGGGAGACACACAAAACCCAGAGAAAAGTAATCACAGATGACACACGTGGTAAAACATCCTATGTTCATGGAGAATCAGTATTGTTACAATGACCGTAATGCCCAAAGTGATTTACAGATTCAACACAATTCCCCATCAAAATCCCAATGCCATTTTTCACAGAATTATCAAAAAATAATCCTAAATTTCATAGGAAATCAAAAAAGAGTTCAAACAGCCAAATTAATTTCACATAAAAAGAACAAATCAAGCAATGAATACCACGTTATATTCTATCAGGAAAAAAAAATCATGTGTCACTAAAGACGTGGATACACGAAAATATTTACTCCCGCTAAGTGGTCATTTACATTGAATTAACCACTTTGAAGACTTCTCTGGCAGTTTCTAAGGAGGTGAAAGATGAATGGATATATCACAAGGACCTGCTTCCCGCCTTGGGAGAGGACTGTTAAGTCCCCACCCATCTCCATGGCTTTTGCCATCCTGCCCACTGGAGACAGTTTCTTTGCTCTAGGACTCGGTGACAGCATTTGGCTTGGCCTATTCAATCTGAGTAGACGTGAGTGCTCCTTGTGTGGACACGAGCTTTAGAGCTACTGCCAGTTTGGGGCAGCCTCCCTGCCCATATTTCCTCTGCCATGAGAAGAGTGTATGCCACCCGGGAATCCTTTCCATCCCAACTACAGCAGTTTGAATGAAAGTTTTCTTAGAATTTCTGAAGTGATTTTAGACCTTTAGGGCAAAGGATCCTTTTTTACAACATGTAAGAAAAATAAAAACAAAGTGCTAATGCATTATACAAATATGTTTATTATTTAAATGTTTATAAATTATAAGGTTTTATTTATGAATGAAAACATTCCTGGAAAATGTTACACATTTGGTGTTCATGTTTGTAACTGGTTTAAGGCACACAGTGCAAAGTACTTCTTTTCTGATACAGAGATCCCCAAATGTTTCTTTAAACAACATTGGTGCAAAATTGGTTTAGTACCTTATATGATACAATATATCCTTAATAAATGTTTGGGGGAGGAAAACACTTTGTGGGTAAAACTAGTGCACTATTTTTACCAGCAAAAATCTATTAGTAGATTTGGTTTGGTTTTTGTTTGATTTTTGGTTTACAGAGTAGGTTGCTATAGAAAAATATTATTTGTTTGTCTTTTAAAATTAAATTATTATACAATACAGAATTAAATAATCCACATGAAAACATCTCTTAATACCTGAGAATTTTCCTTGAATAGCTAAGTTTTATAATCTCTTTTATGTTCTGGCTTTGAGAAACCTCTGATATAAAATAACTTAAACATCTCTAATACAACTTTTGCATATGTAAATACAATTTTATGTTTACCAAAATAGGATTTCAAAATTTCAGGAATTCTCACTTTCAACTTGATCAATAAAATACAGTACATAACTTTGAGAAAACAGATTTTTAAAGAATATACATACATACACACCAACATAAAAGAGTTATGAAGGCAAAATAGAATATAAACTTTATAAAAACAATGCTTTGTTCTTATAAGTATAGTCAAATTAGAGGTAGATTTTAAGAATGAAATTCTAATATATGTTTTCTGTATTCTACCCACAAAATTTCATATACAGTATTTAACCCAAGCATTCATTTTTAATATAAATTTGTACCATATTTTAAGGTCTTTTTTTTTTAACATTGAAACACCATAATCCATAACTTCAAATTAAAGGGAAAATAGAACAAGGCATCTAACCTGTATCAGCAGAAAGTATAATGCCCATGTCCTTTTTTGATATAACTATTAATTTGCAGTTCACCTGATAGACTCAATAATGTTTACAGTAATTTTGAATAAGTTTGTTACCTAATATTTACTTGCTCCTTTTGAATAAGTAGCATAAACATTTCATCGTATAGTAGAACACTGAGCAGAGATTTACATGTGTGTTCATAGGTACAATATAACTGTGGTCCAGTCTGAGCTGTTACCAGCAACATTGTCTTGGTATAATTCATTGAAACATCCTCCTATTCTCTACCATAAATTATTGTGTTCTTTAAAAAAGATCCTGATTAAAATCACACATGTGTTGCTTATTCTGCAGACCCTGAAAAAAGCAAATAACAATTTGAATTCTTACTGAGCACCCTGAAAAAGTGGCTGAGACATTTTGGGTGTGGAAATCTCAGGAAGGCAGGGTACAGGAATGAGCACCAGGTATGTGTATGTTCCAGAGAATATCTTCTCTTTGGGGGACACTTCCCTCTTCCGAATGTTCACATCACTTGAATTGGGAGCCCAGTCATCATGTGAGGAACACACTTTCCACAGAAGCCTCCACAACTTCCGTACACTTTGGTTCCATCCTGAAAATAAGTAGAGGCAGAAGGTAGGAGAATCTTACACAAGCTAATGTCTGCACACGCAAAGCAGAAAAAGCCAATGCTTTGAATCTGCAATTCCCTTCCAGGTCGAAGGTCACACCATTTTAATATTACTTCACATCAGTGGTCACGGGAAAGCTCAAAGGGAACTAGATAACTTGAGCTTCATATTAGCCATGGAATAATTACGGATCATACTGTACTTTAGGCGGTTTATCTCAATCCACATATTTTTCATCCAGGAATCTATTTTTTTCAGTGAGTTGATTAAAACCTCTCCCATTTAGCTGTCTAATATTGACATAATTTTATATGACATTCTCTTAGACTAAATAAAAGAAAGTTATACAAACTTGACCGTAAAGGAAGCTACAATATCTCAAGCATCTCATGAAAGAATTAGAAATACACCCTGGAGAAAAGTATCAAATGAAGGTGGTAAGATAGAGAAAAAAATGAATAAAAATTGGGCTGAAATCCATCATTATAATTAGGGAAGACTAAAAGAGGAGAAATGGCTGAAATGCCTTTCTATAATTAGAGAAAGACTAAAAGAGGAGATTCTTGCTCAAGCAACTCAGTTGAACACATGGGCAGACGTGGGGTCGAGGGGGTTGTGGTGAGGATATAATAGATGTACTTTCTAGGCTTTTTCTATCTTTTGATCCAAAAGTTCTAAGACCAAAGGCATTTTGATAGGATGAGACAAAAACAGACTGAATTCTTACCATTTCTGGAGAAGGTAAGATTTTTCTTTTACTCTAAGGAAGAAGGGCAGAGAAGAAAACTTTGGGCTCTTGGAACATGTTAAGATGCTTGGAGACCAAGGGCTATAGAAGTTGCCTTTTTTCCCTATTGGCCACTGTAACTTGGGAGAAGCTGAGCACACAGAGAAGGGAATAACAGTAATGATTCAATTCTGTATACTTCCCTATTCTCAAACAAACTGCTGAGGTGAAAACAATCTTGATTGAATTTACCAGCAAATGAAATTATTATGTTTGCATTTTTATGTTTGGATTTCATAAGTCTCAGTTTCACAGCAGGCATCAGATCCCAAAGAAATGCCCATCGTATGCAACATTTTCGCTTGAGGCAAAAAGTTCCCAGTGAATTATATAAATCATTAATCTTTAGAAGAGACATTCAACAGAAGCAAAATGAACAATTTTGCTAAATATCCATATTTATTGGTTACTTCAGCCAGAATTCAGTCTTTACATTTAACCAAAAAATATCTAAAAGTTGAGTGCATACGATCAGAATGTTTCATTGATCTCTCTACATTTATATCTGCTCAGATTATATTTTAAATAAGTAATTAATTGATTCCCATTCTTTTGCAAAAAGGAATTAGATTTAAATATGCAAAAAAGATGTTTAAAAACAGTCCTTCTTTTTGAAAGTCTTCAGCCATATAAGGGAAATAATAAAACCTAAAATTCATTAGTCGCTGTGTAACGCACAAATTCATCATCTTCAGAAACAGAATATTTTAATGGCTATAAATATCATTACACTGAATTTAATTCACACAAAAAAATGTTCATATAAATGGGAGTATAACAGAAATCACTTTTCATCAATAGGAAGAAAAATCACAAAACACTAGCCTGCGCAGGACTATTGTGGTGCTGATTTATGAGCAACGTAGTTGAGAACATGTAACTTAGAAGCAGATGCACTGTGGATGGAGGCGTGCTTGGACACAATAACTACAAGGAAGAGAAAGCATTTCATAAACTGTACATATGAGGACCCTGCACCAGCAACAAAATTCAATAAATTCTACTTTGGATAAATATATATGCTGGAGTTAAAATAACTACACAACCTATTATTACTACATAATCACCTATAGACAGGAAAATAGAAATAGAACATAGAAATAGAACATAAATCCTAATCCTAATTCTCTCTCTCTCTCTTTTTATTTTTTATTTTTTGCAGTTTTTGGCCAGGGCTGGGTTTGAACCTGCCACCTCTGGCATATGGGGCTGGCACCCTACAACTTTGAGCCACAGGCACTGCCCCATAATCCTAATTCTTTAAAAAAAACTATGAAGGATATTTGTTAAATGATAAGTGGCCCCAGCATCACCCATCACTAAAGCAAAGCAGTGAGGTAAGTAAACCAAATATTTAGCCCTTACTTTAAAACGTTAAAACCTATAAAGTTTTAATAATTAAAATATGATAAAAAGCACTGCCTTTGTATTTTTTTTTTTCTTGAGACAGAGTCTCGCTATGTTGCCCTTGGTAGAGTGCAGTAGCATCACAGCTCACAGCAACCTCAAACTCTTGGGCTCAAGAGATTCTCTTCCCTCAGCCTCCTGAGTAGCTGGGACTAAAGGCACCTGCCACAACACGCGGCTATTTTTTGTTGCAGTTATCATAGCTATTTAGCTGGCCTGGGCCGGGTTCGAAACCCCCAGCCTCAGGGTATGTGGCTGGCGCCCTACCCACTGAGATATGGGTGCTGCCAGCACTGCCTCTTTCTAAAATACCTGCGTTTCAAGTCATGAGCCCCAAACTTGAGATAGACAAAATCTACATGCCACAGCATTTGACAGTTCATTCTCTGTATCTTAGCCTGTATGTACGTATATGGATTTGTATGTATACAAAAACTACATATGCACATTAATAAAAATGAACCCCACTTCATTTCAAACATGGATGTTGTGCTGCATTCACTATATATCATACACTTTATATGCAATAACTCTTTAATCATCAACTTCATCTAACTTTAAATTGAAGGTAGAAGACCTTGAATGCTACTTCACAGCACAGAAGTATTTGCAACGTGCTTTTGGCCCAGTAGGACTTACCGGGGATCTGTGTATGATGACAGAGGCGTAGCTCCCCTGAGCAAGCCACTTGGCCGTGCTGGATATCTTCATTCCAGTTCCTGCCAAGTTAATGCTGAATTGTCCCTGGAACGTAAAAAAAAAAAAAACAGTAACAGATGGAATTCGTAAAATATTTAATAGTGCTCTCACCTGGAAACATCTGAATGAGAATTATATATGGAAGAGTTTAAGATCCTTTTTACTTTTATAAAATGAAAGAATAATTGATTGCATCTCATTGTAAAGAAAATGAACGAGGTAAGGATTTTTAAAATTGATCAAAAATAAGTCTTCTCAATTATAAGTAATAATTGAATTAAGTCACATACTTTTACTCATGGAAAAGTAATTCTGTGCAACCCCAGCACTCTACAACTTGGCAACTAGAGCTAACAGTCCTTTAGCAAGTCCTAAAAGAAGGTGTTTGTAGGGACAGACACTTGTGATACGTGGACACTTGTGGAGTTTCAATTTGTGACCCCTCATTGTAACTTGTACGATGTTATACCTGTTTAATGTATTTTCTAGAATCTTCTGTTATGGTGCCCTACCTTTCTGTGGTAAGAATATCACTTCTTAATCTACCATACAAAATTACTGATATTATAGCCATTTTAAGTGCCCAGAAGAGTGTGTGCATATGTGACACCACAGGACTTATGCACGTTTTGGTGTATGGGTCCCCTAGTGTCTTTATGACCTACTTTTTTTCAAGTACAATGAGCATTTTTACATCAGAGTATTGCGGACTATCTTTGTTAACAATGAAACTTCAAAGAACTGAGATTGAGAGAATGGGTGACTTGAATGGGTAAGATCTCTCACGGTTATATGATCTTTTAGTACAGGTTGATACACTAAACAGCAGACAAGCAAGCTAAGTCAGCCTCCTGACAATGTTCTGTATGCAGGTAGGTTCAGAGAGCTACTAAGGCATTCTTAGATTGTATCAAAATGGCCCCGAGACTCATGAATCTTAAGCAGGACTATGATGAAGCATTGAGTTTTATATTATATGAATGAAAATATTATATGAATGACAGCAAAAGCTAGACATTTAAATATATTTATAATATGAATTATTACTATTGCTAAAAATAGATATCAGTTAATTAACTTTGATTTCTTAGCAATCCTATATATTTCTTATTTAAGTTTTTTTTTTTTTTTTTTTTTGAGACAGAGCCTCAAGCTGTCCCCCTGGGTCGAGTGCCATGGCATTACAGCTCACAGCAACCTCCACCTCCTGGGCTCAAGCGAGTCTCCTGCCTCCGCCTCCCAAGTAGCTGGGACCACAGGCGCCCGCCACAACACCCGGCTATTTTTTGGTTGCAGCCGTCATTGTTGTTTTGGCGGGTCCGGGCTGGGGATTCGAACCCGCCACCTTAGGTGTATGTGGCTGGCGCCTTAGCCGGTTGAGCTATAGGTGCCGAGCCTATATTTCTTATTTAAAGTGAAATAAGGACCAAATACATTATAAAACAATGACAATAAATGGAGAATTTCCATAGCAGAAATAATTAGTTTCGGATAAATTTCAAAGGAGATTTATTGCATATGGTATCACTTAATTGTGAAATTTAGAATATGACCTGTATATTTGCTTTATTGCTTATATTCCTGGAGCCTGGGAAAGAGTCCACATACTCAATAAGTTTTTCTTTCTTCTTTCTTTTTTGAGACAGAGTCTCACTTTGTCACCCTGGTAGAGTACCATGGTGTCACAGCTCACAACACCCTCAAACTCTTGGGCTTAAGCAATTCTCTTGCTTCAGCCTCCCAAGTAGCTGGGACTACAGGCACCTGCCACAGTGCCTGGCTATATTTTGTTGCAGTTGTCATAGTTGTTTAGCTGGCCCAGGCTGGGTTCGAACCTGCCAGCCTCAGTGTATGCGGCTGGTGCCATAATCACTGTGCTACAGGGTGCCAAGCCACTCAATAAATATTTTTGAATGGATGAATTAAGTATAGAATTATAAATATTAAATAACACCATTAGACAAGTAAATACATCAACATGTAAAACCCTTTAGACTCCATGATAATGAATGATATTAATATTAATGATGGCAGCATTTTATGCTGGTAAGCATTTGAATGAGAAGAACTCATTCTTAGGATGTATTTCACTCTTTGACACTTAATCCAGATGATGCAGGTTTTGCACTGGATGCCTTCGGTTCACATTTTCTACACTTCTCACTAAATAAAATTACTTACAAGTGGAAATATAATCTATAATGCAAGTTTCCTGGGCCTAGACACTTGTTGAGTGCGTATGGTGGGCCGGATAGTATTTTCAGATCCTAATACTGTCACTCCACTCTTGCATTCATTCTATACCTTCTTGATAATGTGACTTGGAAACACGTGAATACATACGCACTGGAGGTAAGTGGAAGGAATCTTACTGACTGTTTAGGTCATCATTAACACAATCAAGGGAGTCTAGAAATAGCTGCTACTCCAGACTAATTTTCATGAACTTTATTCTTACACTTAGTTCTCATTTAAAAAGCTACATCAAACAATTTCAAAAAATGGTAAAAAAAGAAAACCATCTGAAATTTGTGATGATATCAACAGGGCTAAAAAATGCATTTCATTCATTTTTTTCAAAATTAATTGCATGACAGAGATGGGGTCAACGACTATGGGAGTTCAGAGTTCAAAGACAGATCTCACCCTAACTCTAGCAAGCGCAATAGCATAGGTACCTAAGTAAATGCAGTGCAACGAGAGAACGGTAAGTACCAAAACAACAGGGCTGGGACATTCCTAGGGGGCTTCAGAAGTAATAAATGAGTGAATGAATCTATTAATTATTTTGATTCCAATATTCATTTCCCTTAAAACTTAAACCTCAAACTTAATTTTTAACCTGAAAAGTTAGTTCAGCATAGAAACAACTACAAATCTATATTTTAATAGTATTATGATGTTTATTTCCTCTTCCACTTTCCTGACATTTTTTAGAAGGAGCAACTAAACAAAGCAGAATCCCCATAGACAAATCACAGAAAGAAGGTAAGGTGATTCGGAAGACCTAGCAATTTAAGAAATTGGAAGAAGAAAGAAAAAAAACTAAGGACGGATATAAGACAGAGGAGGGGTACATGAGTAGATGTAAGTTTAATGCTCCACCTCTTAGATTGACTGGTTGGTTTGTGAAGGCTGATCAAATCATTGTATTTTACAATTTCAGAATATGTGGTACCTATTTTGTTATGTATATAATCTATAGATCTAATAAATTCCAATAGAAATTCTACCAGGAATTTCTGTAGATATAGAAGGTGATTCTAAAATTTACATAGAAAGGCTAAGAAATAAAAATAGTCAAAACACACTTTAAAGGGAAGAAAAAAGTTGTGGGACCCACCCTGCCTTATTTTAACCTTCATTATAAAGTTATCGTAATCAATCAGTGTGGTGTGGGTGAAGACAGAGACACGTAGATCGATAGAAGACCCAGACTCTGGAAATACACTCACATAAATATCACAAATTGGCTTTTGACAAAGGTGGAAAGGCAATGAAGTGGAGAAAACATTATATTTTCAACACAGGGTGTTAGAACAATTGGATATCAACGTGCAGAAACCCTTAGAGTTTCTACAAAAATTTGCTCAAAATAAATTATAGGCCCAGACATGAATAAAACTATACAAGTTTTTGATGAAAACTTCAAAAAAGGAAAAAAGTTTTGTAATTTGGGGTTTTTCGAAAATTTCTTAGATATGACATTAAATGCATAGCCCACAAAAGAAAAAATTACAAATTTGACTTCATCAAACTTGAAAACTTCTGCTCTATGAGAAATACTTAAGAGGAAAAAAAAAAAAGATAAGGCTTAGAGTAGGAAAAAATACTTTTAAAAGTCAAGCCCCAGGATGAAGGAGGGAAGGGGAGAAAGGGGAGAAGGGAGGAGGGTGAGTCAATAGAAGAAGGGTTGATAGGGGGACCACACCTATGGAACATATTGCAAGTACAAATTGGATCTATCAGGTGTAGAGTATAAATGTCTTAATCCGGGAATCGGGTAAATGAGGTGAAGGCTATGTTGTTTAGTAGGATGTAAGCATTCTAATTTCTACAAATAATCAACACATTGAATCCCATAATGGCATAAATGTATTTATGATAGATGTATGAATGACTTAATAAAAAAAAAGTCAAGTCCCAAAAAAGATTTATATCCAGAATTATGTTATAAATTCTAGAAACTCAACATCAAGGAAAAAACTAACCAATTTAAAAAATGGACAAAAGATTTGAACATACACTTCACCAAAGAGAATATACAGAGTGCAATTAAAAGACGCCTAGCATCATTAAACACTCAAGAAATGCAAATACAAACCACAACCTGACACCACCAAAGATAGAAAAACAAGTGAAAGTTGGCGATAGCAGTGCTGCCGAGGAAGCAAAGCGACCTTGCCTGTGTAAATATAAAATGGCACAGCCGCTCTCGGAACAGTTTGGCAGTTTCTTATACGTACCAGGGGACCCTGCAATCCCACTCCTAGGAATTTATCCTAGAGAAATGAAAACTTATGTTCACATGAAACTTGGACAAAAACCTGTATCGAAACTCCAAAATCTGGTCCCCAATCATGAAACCATGGCAAGGAAATGTCAAATTCATGATCCACAATGAAGGTGTAACACATTAGTATTGTACATTAAATAACACAGCAACAGCTTTTAGGGAACAAAGCTATCAGGGATGCAAGGGAACACAGATGGACACCCCACAAAAGGAAGACTGAATGCCTTGCTTTCAGTGACAAGACAAATCAAGTGGACAAAAATAAGGCCAGAGATGAACTTATATAATCGGAAGGGAGATTTTCTGCGTACAGATTCAACCCTACATGTGATAATAAAAAATACGCATTCCAAATCTGTAATTACTGACTCTACACCATCTAAATGAGGCTGGCCTTGCTCTACTAGAATCGATGGAATGTGCATATTTCTTTTTTCTTATGTAATCAAATATCAATTACAAACCAGCTGAAGAGATCCATATTGTCTGTGTGTCTGCAAAAAGTAAAGGACATTTACTTTACCCCGTT